GTCATCAGATATTTCTGTTGGCTGATTATACAGTGATATTGCTGATGGACCACAATTTTCAGTAGTTCGAGAATTTGCAGCAAGCTGTGAAGGTACTTGTTCATTAACTACCGCGTCTGCTGATGATTCATCTTGGATTTCTAGTTGTAGTTCAGCATTTTCTTTATCCTTTATAGGGCCATATGAATGTGTGACAGTGCCATGGTTGTTTTGTAGCCATTCTAGTGCTAATTCTGTTACTGCTTCTAAGTCAGGTTCAAAGATTGGTCTGTTATGTTGTACACTGTCTTGTACTCCTAGTTCATTGAATTTTGACACATATTTGTGATCACTTCCAAGCAGGCTCGAGTTTAATTGTTGGATCACTAACCCTTCGGGTTAGTAGACATCTTTAACTTTTTTACTAACCATAAAGTTTGGTATCCAAGCTAGCTCACATGTCACGATATCTCAAATATTGAACATTCTGTTCATAAGAACTAGGTCAAATTGAAGAGCAGCTGAAATTGCATGGTTACCTTAAAAACGTTGACAATTAACTACCTATGTTGACCCCCTCTCATTTACCATGATTAAAGAACTCTGCATAATTCAATGTGGAACTGCCAGAACCTTGTGAACAATAATTTGGAAGCGAATATTTGCAACATGGCAGATCTGATAAAGTTGTGTCCAGATCCCTACCTTCGACACAAATTAACATTCTGGGCCTTAGCACTCAAAATGGCTGTAAAGCTCCATTCCATCACAAAGACAGCAAGAAAAAATCGTTTCAGACAGAAAACAAGCTAATGCAAGTAAATAACACATAAACCGTTTCTAAAACTTATTATTTATTTGTAAAAGGTTATTTCCATAACATAATTTAAATATGTTAGAAAATTTTACTAACCATGTCGGGTTAGTTGGACACATTTTTAGTAACCAAAAGTTGAAAATTACTAACCAATGGTTATCGGGTTAATGTTAATTTTGAGCCCTGCCAAGGAGGTTAGATTCATCCCTCCATGATGATATAGCATAAGTAGATACATACATACATTAGCTGACCTCTCCCACATCCATGAGGCTTTTCAGGGCCAAACTTAGAGCCACCCATCCCATCCCATCACAGGGGAGGACATCCACCACACAGTCATCTCGTGCTTGGGAAATTAAAAAAACAGTTTAGGTAGTTTTCTTTTATTTGGTCTATGATATCTGATAACAGCTTTGACTTTTGTACTTTTCATAGTTTCATTAGCATTCATCAATGATATCTTTTTAGGCAAATATGATGAATCACGAAAACTGCTTTTTCTATGTTGTATTTCAAAATTGTCATCTGTAAGCACTTCTTGAAGTGCATCAATAGTTTCACTATTTTCTTTTCTATAGTCCTTGTAGTAATAAGCTGCAAATTGTGTGAGACAAAGGTTATCTACAGCAGGAATAGAGGCTGGTCTAATACAGTAGTGTTCAATGATGTTAGATTTGAATATACACTATCTGTACTGTCATCTCATCCAAGTCATTAAGTTCTTGTTTTGTCTGCTAAGTCAGTCTCAACAAATAATGTTGCAGGGAAAATTTTCTTCAGCCAGAGTTCAGGCATACATCTGTATACACATTCTCGTGAGCTAAGCTCTCTTGTTGATAGAAATGCAGCACCCATTTTTCTTAAGCCAATTCTTTAATGTTCATGTTCTCAGTTTTGGCTTGTTTGGTTGCATTCATTATTGCTTGTGAACATTCAGTTTCATATCCTTTGTGAAATAAGAACAGATATAAGTTATGCATTATTTTGTAATGATTAGACACTGGCTGCAAGTCTTTTAATCGTTGATGAATATGGATGAGAGTAGTGTTACCAACCATTGAGATCTCATCTGTTATACACCACATTCATAAATGGCTGCTGGATTAATATTCTTGTGTTTAATTTAAATTAGCCCTTCTGGCCTCGCTTGAGATAATGTAACACATCCCCATTTAAAACTGTACTTCACCATTTAAAAATGTACTTGACATTTGAGGTAACTTAGTTTCTGAATGAGCCAATCAGATCTCAAATGCATTTTTAATGAGTTCTCTGGGAACTAAGTTCCTGTGTCAACCAATCAGATTTGGTTTGCAAAATGGACTTTGCTCTTTAGGAACTAAGTTCCTCAATAAACCAATGACATGGAAGAATACATGACATGACATTTCTAAATTAAGGTTTGCCTATTTTATTTATGTCAACACTAAATAGAGCAGACAACAATGTTACACTTTGGAAATGAGTCGAATACACGATGGTCTACACGGCAACGAAAAGGCATCTGATACTATACAATTCTGTAAAAAATGCCACAATGGTTTTGCCGCGCTTTTTACCAGCGCTAATACATAATCTTATTAGTAGTTTTCTTGTGTAGTATCGCTAAGTATTTTTACAAGTTGTACCGTAATTTGACGAGCCCGCAGGGCGTGTGAAAATACAAAAAAGGAGTAAAA